GTCGCCTCGTGGTCGCCATTGGCGGCGGCAACTGCAGCCGCTGCAACGCGGTGTTGGCGCCCACTGGCCTCGGACGCCGCGGCGGAGTAGTCATCGAGCCGGCCGGCGGCCGCTCATCGTCCGCGCGCTTGAGTCCGTCAACGTCGACGGCATCGGCGAGACCTTGTGGTGCAGCTCGGGTTTCGCCGGCGGTGCCGAGCAGCACGTGCTGCCCCTCGCCCCGTCGCGGCGCCGCCACGCGCATCACCTCCGCCGCCTGAATCCTGACCGCCGCAACCAACTCCTCCTTGGCGACGCCAGCGGCAGTCAACCTCTCCGCCTCCGGTGCCGCCGGCGAAGCGGCCATGACGACGAGCTGGTCATGCTGCTGCATGACAGCGTGCACGCCTGAGAAGCAGAGCGACGACGTGTTGGTCGTCGCCGCCGCTGGCCGTCGAAAGCTCCACCACCGCTTCTTCTTGGCAGACAGGCGTAGGCACCGCCGCCGGTGACGACGACGGCGGCGGCTGGCTATCACCTCTGTACTCCTTGCCCTTCCTGTCCTTCTTGCCGCCGGTAGTCCATTGGGGCCAATCCAATGAAAATCCATGGACTCCACCCATTTCAGGCCGAAAACTGGAAACCAAAAACCAATCCAATCCAACCCACCTCTATTCATCATCCAAACCGCCCCAGTCCATTAGGTAGCTCACCCCGTTTACACCCATACCAAAACAATCCAAATTGAAAACCGATCCATTAAACCCATTCTCATCCAACCCATTAGCAGGCCTACTTACTGGGAGTCTGGGAGTACCAAGTATTAGATTTGTCACCGCTGTTCACTAGTCAATGATTATGGCAGATCCATCGGTCAGCGCGAAGCGAGAAAGGAAGCTCCTCCATACAGTGCATGTCGTGCCGTGCGACATGCTGATTCTGTGCTTAACTTAACCTGGTTTGTTGGTTTTCCTTTGTGCAATAAGCCAACAACAATGCTAATAAGCTGCACCTACACATCGATCTTGCGTGCTCTAACAGCCCAGCCCCAAACGGGCCAATCACATGGTTGTGTGTGCGCGTACGTGTTGCTGGTTTTGGCTTGCTGCTGCAAGCCTGCGTAGGCCAATAAAAAGGGTCCGTTTCGTAGCCGTATTTGTTTACTACTAGTACCAGGTAGCAACGATGGCGCGTTGCGGGCAACCTTGCCTCACCGTACCGATCAACGTGCGCGCACGCTCCGGCGGGGGAGGGGAAGTTTGGGGCGTTCGGCCACCGAATTTCTTTCATTCCGTGGGCGCCCCGAACGAAAGGGACTCGTGTGTTGGTATCGCAGGTACGCGCCCTGCACGTTTCGACGTTTCCGATAGGAAAAAAAAAACCCAACCGAATCGCGCGCCGCAAAGTTGGTGAGAGGCGCGCGGAGTCCGCGCGGGGGTGGGGTGTGGTCTCGGCGTGGTTGCACTGTGGCAGCGTCGTCCGCGCGGGGCGCGCATATTGATTGGAGCACGCTGTTCCCTGCGCCACAAGCAACAGCGCCGCGCGCCCCGGTTTTAATTGCCGCGCGCCTCGAGGGGGGCAACGAGATCTGCAGGCCTGCGCTGCTGCACAGCGTACGTACAACTGCCGGTTTAGGGCCCCTTTAAATCATATGATAGAAAAAACGGAGGAATAGAAAAAAATGATAGGAATTAAAGTATAAAACAGAGGATTGCAAAACACAGGTAAAATATAGGAATGGTCGTTTGACTGGAGCGCAAGAAAAACGCAGGAATCGGATGAGAGAGATAGACTCAAAGGAAATTTTTCAAGAGGTTAGAGCTCTTGCTAAATTTTCTTCAAAATCCACATGCAATGTACTATTCCATAGGAATTTCATAGGATTTGGAAAGCTTCAATCTAAAAATTAACTGTAGGATTTAAATCTTATAAAATTTCTATATAAATCCTTTGATTCAAAGGGGCTTAAGCCGCGCACATGCAATGCGCCGGATGCGCGACGCCGAGGAGGAGGGAAGCTGGTGGCGGCGGCAACACACTTGGACTGGCCCCGTACCGGCGCGTATGCCGAGCGGCCTCCGATCCGATGCTTCCATAGGATAGGAGGGGGGGGGCCACCGGCGGCGTGCCGACGTGTGACCGTGGCTTGCGGTTGCTTTGGCTGCTTTGGGGAGTTTGGACTTTTCGCTTTTGGGGGCCGTGGGCTATGTCCAGTGCATGCGATTTTACTACTCGGTGGAGTACTTTGGTACCGGAAGCGTACGACGGTCCACACAGACGCTCCTGACTTCGTCATGAGACCGTAGTCCATACTCCGTAGGCATAGCAAGTTAGCAATAACATGTTCAGAAAGCGGGAATCCGGGAAGTTTTCTGTTCTTCCGGACCGGGGACCGAACTTGTTCAAAACTCGTACTATGAGATGTACTACTTCGTTTTCGGAGGATATTTAAAATGGATAGCATGAACACTATTCGTAATTTAAAAGTTATTTCAGGGGGTTAGAATTTAAGAATGTTAGGTACCGAGTAAATGTTTTCTTTAAAAGAAATAGCACCCCCTTCAATTTGAAAAGATGTTGTTTTTGGATGGCACACAATCTTTGAAAAAAAATGCAGCTGAAACTTCGGTTGTGAATTTCTATCCCATTAAACACGTTTGTAAAAATCAGGTAAATTAAAGTTAGAATATTACTTGAATGCTTTTCAAACAAATTTATCTTTATGAAACTTTAGATATTTAAAAAGATGCTTAATGCTCAAACAAATATAAAAGTGTAACTTATTTACGTTTATAATTTCATGTTTTGCGACCGTACATCGTACTACTAATACTACTCCTAAAGTCCTAATTAGTTATTCTACTCTGTTAGGCTTCCTAATTCAGTAAAGTCTAACAACTCAATTCTCGGCGAAAATGGGCAAGAAGCAGTGTTATTTTTACTACTATATATACACGTGCTCTAGTCCATATACCAGTCGTGCCAAAACAAAATTGGGTAATGAAACAGACTTGCATTTAACCTTACAGTTATACAAGGTCACTGAATGTGCATCCTCACATGTCACTTTCTAATCCAAATATCCAATGCCTTCACTGCACAGTACTACTAGTACTGCGTTTTTTTTCTTAATTTTTTCCCTTCACTCATTGACGGGCGGTCCATCGCGCCCTTCACACATCCAGCTACTTTTTTGCTGCCACAGGTGCCGGCCGTTTTCGTTTGGGAAGTTTCAGTGTGCATTTAGGAAAGCAGTAAAGGAAAGATGCTGTTTTTTTTTCCTTCCTCTTGTGCGTTTATGCCTCGGCAGTTACAGGAGGAGACAAAGTTCGCTTCCCCCCCCCCCCCCCCCCCCCTCTCTCATTCTTCCTTTCGCCATTGGGAACCAAAAACAAAAATAATAGGAGGCATGATGCAAGCACCATCCATCCGCTTTGGAGACGCCAACGGAATGGAATTTGTGCTCCACTGGTGATGGAGAATTAAATCTTGGATTGTGTAGTAGGGAATATAAGCATAGTACTATAAAGGTGTGACTACAGCGTTAAGTGCAAAGCTTAGTTGAGAGGTGAGATACTGAGGCTCTCTTTTAAGGAATTTAAAGAGCTGAGAAGTAGCCGGTAAGTACACTGTAGGAGTAGCTAATTCGCGAGAATCGGTTTTACACTTTTAGTTTATATTCTAAATTTTACAACTACATATCTTTTTTATAGGAAACAGTGGAGATGCTCCTAGCGTAAATTTTCATTGAAGAAATAGGGTTATTTACAGAAACGGTTCTGTTAGAGGGGGAAGAGAAATTATAATTAATTATTTGAATTTAGATAATAATATTTGATTATTTGAAGAATCAGGAAGTTCTGGGATGTGATGAGATGGAGAGGAATAGAGAAAAAGGTGAGATTTTTATACCTACCTTGTGAGCACCAGCCTATTGCCTGTCAAGCTTCCTAATTAAGAGATACCTTCCTCCTGAGATTACCGAATCATTACCTTCTTTCCTTTCTTCCCCGTCTCTCCCTCTCTAGATAATTTGGTTTGGTGTCTTCTCTCTCTATCTCCTAAGAGCAAGTTCAATAGTAGAGTTAACTACCGGCTCCAAAATTCACCACATTATTTAAGAGATAACTAAACAACGGTAGATACAGCAATTGGCTACATCCATGCTTTAACCAAGGCATTCTATCAGGTGTTGGTAACTTCTACATGTTCAAGTTCTAATTTTCGATTGGTTGTCCCGAGCTGCAGGGGGCCAGAGCGCCTAGTCTTGAGCCGGCGACTAGATTGTCGTCCGCTTTGCTCTCTCTGCTTTCCCTCTCTCTATCATATATGTTAAAATATTAGGTAAGCAGACTATTAGCTTGCTATTGTACCTGCTCTAATGCACATCGCCATCAGCATAATGCCGGCGGTGCTGTTGCTGTCTGCAAAGGCGTCGCGGATGCACGCGCGGTGGTGGTAGGCAGCCAAAGAAGTTTCTTGGGTCGGGGAGGAGGAGGAGGGAATTGAGTGATTTTCATGTGCATTATTCCAAGGTGTGGAAGATGGATGCTTGGAGACCCCTCCCCCCAAAAGTACAAAATCAAAGCGGACCATAACTTGATAAGTGCATAAGATAGTTTATCTATTGAAATCGAGTTTTTATGAAAAATCGTACTATTAAGAGGGGTTCCAGGTGATGCTCTGAGATATGTCAAGTGCTCTTAGTGTGAACCAAGTGTCAAGTTTCCCTAGGAGTCATTTTTGCAAATACTCCATCTGTCCAAAAGTGCAAGTCCGGAACTTTCTGTCT